TAACTTATCAATCGAACAAACAGATATAAAAAACATTAAAATATTTAAGATATTTTTCTTTTTTGTTAGTCATAAAACACCAACACTTCACCTTATCAGCTTTTTCTTGTAATCAAAAGAACAGAAAAAAGACTTTTTTTACCTTGTTGTTGTCATTTTTGTTGTTGTTTATCCGTTTATTAAAAACTCAGTTACAATTTGTCAAATTTAATTTATTTTGTGAGAAAAATCAAAAGAATAAGTATAATCGATCAATAGATGTATATATGTATATTTAAGGAGAAAGGAGAATATTGAGATGTTTTTGAACTATTAATTCCATAGGTATATTCATAAGTTGTCTCGTTGTTTTTTCTTTTCTTTATTACCTCTTACTTATTTGCTTAAAAGAATTTAAGAGTTAAAGAGAGGAAAAAAAAAGGAGAAAAATCCGATAAAAAGGATTAATAATCATGTCAGACATGTATAGTATCGGAGAGAGTGCAGGTCAGTCTCCTATACGCACACATACACGTGAATGATTCGTTATAAAATGTGTGACAATAATATGGAATTTAGTTACAAATTGCTGTATGTGTAAATTTTAATGTTGATCTCTAATAGTATCAATAACAGTAGAATAGGAATACAGAATAGTGTTGAATGAATGAACATATAGATAATAGAATATACTTTATAGAGTAGAGGAGAAAAAAAAAGAAAATAATAGGACAATACGAAAAAACGTGTACAAAAGGATCGATATGCTAAAAAAAAGCTCACATACAGTTGACACATAAGATTGTAAAGAAGTCTTGAAAATTAAAACAATAATAAGAGAAAAGAGAGACAGTGTCTGTGTATGTATAATTGATATTGGACAGCATGTATTAAGAAGAAGAATTTCTATTGTACATTTTTTTTATTTGGAGAAGAAAACAAAAATATTTTTCTCATATTTTATCGGAAACATTATTGTTCATAATGTTACAATGAACATAATTTAGGAATATTATAATTATTAATTGAATACAAATATTTATTCTACTTCATTTGTTTATGAGTCATTTCTTATTTTTACTTCTATACATCATCTTTGTTTTTTTTATTTTTCTTCTTGTTGTTAATACGTTACATAAAATAGAAAATATTTTTAAATTTACACGTGAATTTAATGAATATCCAACAAAAAAAATGTGTCAATCGATTTTGTCAAAAAACAAAAAAAAATTGTATAGAATATCGTTTTATTTTAAATTAACTTTTTTTCGACAAGATTATCGTAATATAGAAATACATTTCTCAAGATTCTTGTTCAAACTATTCTACAAAATATTTTCTATCTCTTATTTCTATTTAAATCTTGAGTTTGAACATATGAAACTGCTATTTCGTTTTTTGATGAAATTTGATATTAGTATACTATCTTACAATATTAAAAACTTAGCAACGTGATAATATCGGATGGCCCAGAATAAATGATCCTCCTCGTATTTTGCTTATAGTTTTTTATTTCTTTTCAATCCTTAGATCTGATTGTTTTTCCAAAAGATGTGTCGTCAAACTATCAGATGAATTTATGAAGAAAGCTTTAAGGTAACTTTCGCCGCTGAATCTGGCGCAGGTGTCATTAATTTCCCATCAAAATAAAAAAAGATCGAACGAAAAAGGCGCTATTTTGGCTTCGTTATACAGCATTTTCCAGGAGCTCCGAATCGACACATTCAAATAGCTGGAAAAAGTCTCATTGATTGATTTTGCATTTTTGCACCTAATACTGGTTGATAAAACTTTTCAAGGGCCACAAAATGCGTAATATTCTCATCTTTTTATCATCTAGCTCAATAAAAACGGTTGAACAAAACGTTTTTTCGGCTTAGAAAGTTGATCCGTTTCATTACGTTGAGTGCCCTTCGTTTAATTTTTCTTCTTAACTTAACTTTTGTATAGAAATAAGTTTGATCAGGGTAACTTTTGTAGAGAATCTGATGACGCCCCTTATGATAAAACAATCAGATCTATAAGGATTGAAAAGAAAAAAATTATAAACAAAATAAGAGGACAGTCATTTATTCTGGAGTATCCGATATAATCATCGATCTATAAATCATAATTACATGAGTAAAAGAATATTAGTAATAAATAAAAATAAATAAAAGATAAGAAAAATTTTAATTTAGAAATAATGGAATTTTTCTTCATTTCTTACACACAACTTTTTATCTACGGAATCCGTTGTATATTTTTTCTGCGATCTTTTGTGATTTTGTCCGTTGAAATTTGAATGATGATAAATTTAATTAAAAAAATGCGTGAATAAATGGAAAACACTATTAATTAAAGATGGACGAGTCTCCATTTTTTCGAGTGTCCTAGTCGCATCAAAAGCAGATTCCAGTCATTTCAAGTCATTGTCTAACAGTTAACATTTCCATAGACTCATTTTTGCAAAAACAGTTTCCAAATCGTCTCTAGATCTTCAATCCTACTTTGTGACGAAATATTGTTCTCAGAATAATCTCAAATCTCTTTGGTTGTGTATATAGTAAATATAAAAAAAGAAATACACCCAGTAGTTTCACATCACTGACTCAAAAGTGACCTGAGGGCAGCTTTTCAAGTTTATGGCGTCTTTCACTTCGGATCTGAGCTCTAGAAAAGCGCAACTCGTCTATGTGTGATATCAAAGGTTAAATCGCACTATAAACACATGTTGTTTTATACCTTGAAGCGAAGAGTTAACATGTCGTGTCTCTCACATTCTGTTTCTTATCACACAACAGCAATTTTATCTTTACTTTAAAAACTAAACTATTATAAAATTAAAAAAATGTTTTACTATGTAAATTAATCTAAGATAACTAAGAATGGTAGTCTTTCTTTATTGATATTCTTCGTAATTGTGCCTGAATCTTTAAAAATGAAATATTGTTCAATTCTTATTTGACAATATAGATTTGATGATCATATATTAATTCACCAACTTAAGATCATAGATTAATTTAAATATGTTCGACTAATCAATGTAGTTCATCGACAATCTAAAATCTAAAAGTTTCAGATCTACATAAAATTAGTAAAAATTAAAAACTAGCTTCAGACACTACAAACAAGTGTACAAATTATTGTGCTACACATGCTGTAAAATACTAGATCAATCGATGAATATATGGTATAGAGAATAAAATTCATTGAAAATTGCATTCAAATAAGCTCAGTCTTTCTATTTCTCTCATTTTAAAACCAATTAAACACACCGAGCTCAAATATCTCTTTTTTTCGAACTTCTTTATTATTTTATCTGAAAAATCAATAACTTTTTATTTATTTTATTCATTTTGAATATTGTAGTTTATTTTGAAGCTCAGAAAATTCTCTATCTTTTGATATGTAAAATATTCCGGATCTGAGCAGATATATGGAAGAAATATTCTTTTAAAGTCTTAAGACAGGTGAAAGTCATGATATCTGTCGAGTATTTCGACAATTGTCCAATATGGGCATATTTTTGAAAAGCTTATTTATTGTGAAGCGCAGAAAATTCTCTACCTTTCTATATACAAAACATTCCTGGTCTGAGTACAAGTGCCAAAGAAGTATTCCTTTAAACTGTTAGGATAGATGAAAATCATGACATTTGTCTAGTATTTTGATAATTGTTCTATGTGGGCATACGTTTGAGAAGCTTGTCAATAGTTCGTTTTGAAGCGCGGAAAAGTCTCTATCTTTCTATGTATGGACTTTGGTCAAAGTATTTGAAATCGTACGAAAAATTTGAGAAACAAAGTGAATGATCTTTATTGAAGTGGTGACGAAAACTGTTGAGCAATAATTTTTTCAAGGAGATCAGGAGCAATTTTTGAAAGTCAGACGTGGTGGAAAGTGAAAAGGGAAGCATTTCTAGTCATTTTTACTCAAAATCATATTGGGACATTTTCTAGCAGAAACCAGTTCCCGTCCTTCAGTTCTGATTCTTGAATAAAATCAAAAACGATATTTGTAGTAGTCCTATACTCTTTTATTTCTTATTTATTTACTAATGCTCTTCACTTGGTTATGTTTTTATACGTCCACAAGAATAAGTCGCAAGTCTTTGGTTGTTTTTGTTTGTTTAAGTTCGGTAAACGTTTCTGTGCTTCTGTGCATAGACTAGTATTGGTATTTGCTTAAAAAGTGAGAGTGCTGATTTGACTGAAGCCATTTTTTAGCAGACATTTGATTCAACACATTGCGACCAAATACATTTAATAGTATCTTGTATTCGTATTGTCTATTAAATCCGTATCTTTTCATTTTTAATAAATTGAACTACCATCATCTATTTCAAAATACAGGGCAATTAACTTTTCTTTGAATAACTTTTGAACAAATAGAACTCATGGTTTTCGTCAATCTTAGAATGAAACCTAAAGACGTCTTTTCACATGAAAAACTATTTAAAAATCATTTTCCAGTGTAAGTGATTAATTAGAAATCATAACTCTCTTAGTATAATGCTTATATTCCTGCATTCACTAAGGAGCGAACCTTTTTAGATGTCAACCTCGGATTTCAAGAATCTTTTGCCCATAGATCCTATATAGTGACTTAGCAAAAATCCTAAAAGCATGTGGGCCCCTATTACTTCATTCAAAAGTTATGAATTTTTTTATTTTGCCAATACAGTGCATTACATAAAACATTGAAATATTCATAACTGAGTGAAAACACGGTATGAAGGACTGAAAATTTTTCCTGTCGTAAATGTCTGAACTGCTATCTTTAATTTTTAAAGAACTGATGGATCGAAAATGAATAGTAATCTGAGAATGATTCAAAAAATATAAAGTATGCTCTGATTTCATAAATAGCAAAGACAAAATATTTTTGTATTATATCTATAAGAAAGTTCTTTGTTGAGGAAAAATTCCATTCAGATGGTACAAAAATCCATTTTAAAAGTAAAATTTATTACAACGAAAAACATTGTTCCATAACAATAAACTTTAGTTACATTAAAGACAAAACTATGAAATCCACTATCAGATGTCACATTTCCTTTTTGATAATAGATCTTTCACTATAGCATCAAGTTTATCATTCACACCCATTATTTGCTTTGCTATTTTTGATGACCATTGAAAATATTCTTGTACTCGTTCTTCAGACCAGCCAGCGGGCGTTACTCGGTTCAAATCTCTTAAGTTATAAATTTTATCAGCTAAACGAACCAATATAGCGTCGTGACTTAGACTTTTAGCGTTTTGAATTTGTAATTGTTTACGTTCGTGTTTCTGAAGAGATTTGTCATCGGTTAACTCGTTAACAATACCTAATTGGATGATAAAAAAAAAGACAAGACTAAAAAGTGGCTATCACTATCAAACATTGAGTAATATTACATGTAATTCGAGAGCCAAAAACTTGTTCAAGTTCTTCCATTGTTGTATCAGTGTCTTCGACTGTATCATGCAATAACGCTGCCTATAGAAGAAGATTGAAAATAAGGACTAACGAATGAACAACCTCAAGTGTCCATTAGTTTTCTTCTTGAAGTATACTTGATTAAATATAGCTTTTGATAGTTTGCTCTGTGAATTTCTAAAAAATCAGTTTCTACAAATCCATCCACCAAAAATTTTTATCTAAAATATTTTTGAGAACCGAAGAATGGGATTTTACCAGGATATGAGAATTTTACTATTTACTTTATTGAAAATACTGAGCCTCTCCGTTTTCATACTGATAAGATTCTCATATCCTAGTAAAAGCTTATTCTTCAGTTCTCAAAAATATTTTAGATAAGAAATTCTTTGTGGATGGGTTTGTAGAAATTCGCAGAGCAAAGCTCTAAGGGCAAACACGAATGTCATATTTATGATCAGTATCAAAAGTTACACTTAATCAAGTATACTTCAAAAAGAAACAGAGGTGGACAAGTCTTTCCTTTTTCGAGCCCGAGTCATATTTTTTAACTGAACTACTTTTTTTCTAGAAAGATAGTCGTAAAAAGGCATCACCTAAAACAAATAATCGCTGTGTTTTCTTCAGATCTAAGATCTGATCTTTATCTAACAAGACGTTTATCATAGATGATTTAATAATAATTTCTTCATGTAGAAAAGTGAAATTTTATATATTGTGCAGAACGAAACAAAATACAACAGATAAAATAGACTTTTCATTTTTCATAATAGTCTATTTTCATACTGACTAGGATGGTTTATCTTTAGTGGTGTATTCTTCTCTTTTTATTCTCAAATTCTTTGCGATAAAAAGGTTTTCAAATGAACAAGAAAACGAAAATTTGAATTCTAAAAATGACTCGAGTCTTTTTCTCGGATTGCACGAGTGTTACACCTCGAGTTCGAATCGAGTCTAAGTGAAAACAAAATACGACTCGATTTGACTCGAACTTACCCAGCTCTGAAAAGGAAATGGATGGACACTTGAAGTAGTTCCTGAGTCAGTAATGTGTTCAATGAATAACAAATTACGCAAAACAAAAACAATCATACCGCTAGAATCTCTGGATCATTAATACCACCTTCGTTACACAAAATATTTGCCACGCCTATTAATTTCAACATCATTTGAACAATTTAATTTAATGAAATATTTTTGAGAGCAATTAAAACGATATAACTCAATGTTTTTAAAAAGTTAATACGTTCTTTTCAAAACCATAATATACTTTGGAGAAGAAGTCGACCAAGTGCTGGATTCATCTATTAGTCGATATTTATCAGACGAAAAGTCGGAAAAAATATTTAATAAAACTTTAAAAAGCATTGTTTTTTAATGGAGTTTCTATCCACACATACTATCAGAAGGATGATAATCTCTACAGTCATATTAAACTTGAAAGTCTAACCTATAACATGATTTACATATGGTGTTTGCTCAGGATCTTTTCGTTTTTGGAATTTGTGTTTATTAGCAGCAAAATTCAATGCCTTCATAACAATGTCCATTTTATAATGATAAAGAAGTGTCGAAGAAGAGTATCTCTGAAATCAGATAATATCAAAAATAAAACGTATCATGACAAAAAAAAAGCGTTGAATAAAGCGTCAAGTGGAAAATGTCCACAAAAATTCATACTAAAAAAGTGCCAACTGAGAATACATACGAAAAAAACGTCCAGTTACTGAATGGTAGATGTTTATCAGCTTAGATCGCACTTACATGAGGCGCTATATACAAAAAATTCTCAGGTATTACAGGAAAGTGTATCAGACACATTTGTTTCTCACATTCTAGATGTAACTCATCTCTAGTAATGTTTTTATATGACCGAAGAGATTATTGCAGTAGAATGTCTCTCTGCTGTTAAAACATGCTGTTTTCTATTTACGTGTGGATGTTATTTTCCTCAAGTTCGACCTTGCTGTTTCCTCTTATCGCATTCTCGAAGTCTGAGTAAACGCAATGCAACGGACCAGAGCCTTGTTTCTATATCAAGACAACTTCAGAGAAGATCGCAGATCTTGACAAAAGCAAAAGATCTTTGTTTTTTAAGAACCAAATCGGTGTTTTGAAAACTGATTTGTCTCATTCTCCATCACATCCAAAGATTCATAACAACTGAGGATGGTGAATAATTGACAAATCAATTCCTCAAAAGATTAATCTGCTTCTTGAAAAGTCAGGGTCTTTTGTACTTAACAGAGATCGCTCATTAGTAGCGGTGGCTCATTATCATTACTGTTACTAGCAATAAGTAACAACAGATGCTAATTTGTTACTTTGTTACTTTACTTGGTAAAGTAGATAAAATCTCTCCTAAGGGCCCCTCCCTCAGAAATGGTGGTTTTCGGTCAAAAATCGGTTTTGAGATACGCACATGCAAAGATAGCCTGAAGTGTCTACTTCCAGAATCTGTATTGCTTTTGGTTACAAAACTGGTTTTTCGGGGATTTTGAACAAGTTTTCTAAAGCCTCGAAAAAACGGGTCTTCAAATAATAGTTTTTCCTGGATACTTATGCAATTAAAAAATTTCTGAACACACAGCTTTGTAGAGCAAACGTTTCTGATCAAAATAAGACCTGGCACAACTCTGTATGACCTTGCATCAAAAAGTTACAGGCATTTTCCTAGAAGTCCTAAAATCGAGTATTTCATACAGCGTTTTCTCTATATAAGAGCTACACCTGAAGTGTGTCCCAAGATTTTTAATAGCGGTTTGTCGTACAGAGTTCATTCTTTTTTTGTTTAAAAGAGGAAAAGAAACTACATGAACTGACCGGCGTCGATTTTTCAATTAGATCTTAGTTTTTTCTCAAATCGAGGATTTTAGAAAATCTGGAAGGATTTTTCGGGTTTTGCAGGTTGTTGGTTGCCTGGAAAACCAATAAAGACTTAATTGAAAAATCGGTGCTGGTCAGTCTATGAAGTTAGGTGTCTAGTTTAAAATAAAACAAACCGGAACTCTCCAGCTTGAAGTATATTAAAAAATCTTGGGACGCACTTCAGGGTCCTTTTTGGACCTTGATCTCTGGAAAACTCCTAAACCGTAAGACTTGGAGACAAAAAAAATTTTTCATTCCCGTAACTTACTGTGTCTAACATTTATGAAAGTTTCGTCAAGATCGGACGTACGGTGTCGAAGAAAATTTCTGAGGGGGCCCTTAATGAGAGACGATAAGCTAAATAAATAAATAAAATAAACTATTACATTACAAGTATAATATATTTGTAACTATATATTTGTCTGGTGTAAAAGCCTCTTTCGAAATAAGAATGAAAAGTGCTAAACGAGTAACTCTTCCTCTTTTTTTGAGAAGAACATGTTTCGGCTGGAATAAGTTGCGTCGAACAGTAATAGCCACATCTGCTGGTAAAGAGTTTAAACTTACGCTTTCTAACTACATAAAATTATAATCTATTCGTCTTACATTTTAAACGTGTTCCATATCTCAAGTTCTGAACTTTTCCTGTAACTTCCTTGCCATTCAGCAGAAATAAATTAAAATTGATTACTTAATCCCTCTATCCACAGACGATATAGACTGGAAACTATAATTACAGTAGAAGAACAATCATCAACAACATACTGTTATCGAAAATAATAGAACAGCCGATGTTATTGTATATTGCAAAATTCTCACAGACTAAATATTTACCAATTGTCAATATCAAGTTTCAAAATTACATGTTACAGAAATGGTTTGTGTGAAAAACCTATCTTTGACCACTTTCTGTTATTTTATTTCAAGTATATGCTTAGAAAAAAGTGCATAATAGGAAGGGAAAAAAGTGACAGAAAAACGAAAAATGTCAACATATACATTAGAGCCGACAATCAGCTTGATCTGAAAAGTTGAATCAGCTATATGCAGTTGTATCAGGGTGGAATAAGACTTCATTGCAATGTATCTTCTGATTCAGAGATAAAAATTTGGAAAAACTCATTCATCTCTGAATCACTCATTAGAAAAAAAAATTCCATGTTAATAACAAAGATCTCTAAACTCTGAGAATAGTAAGATACTTACATAACTTTGTCTATTACAAATATTTTTAACTACAGTGTTGCAAAGAATTACTCCTACTATCAAGTGCACTTCCTAAGTCTTCAGCATCATGTGGTTATTTGAGTAAGCCCTGAATTTACTGATAAGGATATTCAGTTCAGAATTAGTAAAAGAAAGCTCCTTTTTGTAGAAAGTCGTTTTCAGTTTTCTCGGAGCTGATTCAGAGTCTATTCCACTAAAGTAGATAAAATTGCATAGCTGAGTTAGCTTTTCAGATCGAGCTGGTCGTCGACTAGTAATATATATCTACTTAAATCTGTAGCTAAACAGAAAAACAAAACCTAAAAGTAAAAACAATGTTTTTTTTCTATCAGTGGATTGGAGATGCACGGATTTAAAAAAAAGGAAAAAGTTCTTACGATCTGACAATTTTTCCAGATAAATACTGATATTAAAAATCGATCGAAACGTTTACTCATAGAATAAGAAAAATGAGGTATACGTTCGCTCCATTATCACTTAATTAGCTTGATAAAAGCAAATTCCGACAATAAAATATTTATAACATAAGTTTAAGATCGAAGATTCTTGAACAAAAAACCAACCATTTGCGAGATTAATAGATCATTAAACTATCCAAAATGAAGTTTATACAAAAAGCTATGTTTGTTTATACTTCTACTGTTGCAATGAGACTGATTTTGTAAATAATGAAAATGTGAGAAAAATTGTTATCCGATATTTTAACCGTTAACTATTTAGCACAAAAGTAGTTCATGAATTTTTAGTTTTATAAAAGTACTAAACAATAGAAGACATGAATAAGTGCTGCATGCGAGTACCGTGTATATTAGCAAAAAAACTTGACTGTACGATATCTTATAAAGTAAAAGTATACTGTCCTTCAGAGACAAAAATAGAATGCAGTTCAGAAAAAGTTTGTACAAAAGTATTTCAATAAAAGAAACAGTGAATATGTTGCTTCGTAACAAAAAAGAACGTTGTAAAAAGAAGAAAAAGTTTATCTAAAAGTGGGAAGAAAATACAGCATATCACACACACAAGAGATTTATCAAGTCCTCATTTAAATATTTGTACAAGTTGTGGTGAGGTTGGTGTTTGATCTGTTATCGTTGGTTCATTTTTCAATAAATTTCTTGTGGTTTGAATTGTACTATGATCATTTAATGTCATTGCTTCGGTCTTAATAACCGGTATAGAACTATCAAGCAATAAATCTTGTTGATAATTTGTCGACGAAGATGATGATGATGAATTATTCGTATTGTGACTATGATGACCAACAAGTTTACCAGTTTCTTTTACGCGTTCAAGTAGTCGAGCTAAATTAAACAGAATAAACGAATTAGCATTTTTCATTTTTAAAGCTATAGTTGTTTGGATAATACTAAGAACATTTTACTACACTTCACATCAGTTTGGTGCCATAACATTCGACTAATACGACATCTATATTCGTGAATTAATAGTAGATAAACAAAATTACTTTCATAAAAAAATTCTCGATGATGTCTGAAGTTCGAAGACAAGTTTGTGTACGGAAAATAGCTTTTGTTCAACTTCAGATTGCTTTATCTCTCGATCACTCTCTCATAATTTGAACGCCTACATGTGATTCGGAATTGGTGGTGGTGAGGTATTATGAATAAATGATGACTTTTTATTGTAAAAAGAAAATGCTCTTATTACCGTGTAATACGATAATACAGACGTCCCACAGCTTGTAACGCTGTAACGAAAATTTTTGTACTCTTGTCTGTTTTCGAACCGGCGCTCTTTCACTACCAGTTTGTAATAAAGTGCTAGGATGAACGGAGACGAATATTACATGTGTTTGTCACTTCTTGCTTTATCCATGGGGAAATTTTAGTATATAAAAACAGCGTGTACAGGCGTGAACATCGTGAAACGAACTGTGATCGCACGTGAACATCGTAAAACGGTGTGGGCACGCATGAAAAATATACTCCACTTGTAACAACGTGTGAACTATTAATGAAAACTTTGTGTCATATTTTTTGCACGTGATCACAGTCCATCTACCTCTGGCGCACTACACCAAGTCAATGTAAGTAGGTTCACCGGTTTTATTTCAATTTTAATTTTTTGAAAAGAACTGTTACCCGCTCGTTCAAAAGAACTGAACTGGAGCTGTCCCACCCCTATTTCTCACGTTAAAATTTTCGTAGAAAACTATCACTTGCGGATGACAATGTTTCGCGCTAATTTCATTGTGAAAAATACATTCACGTTTATTTACATGTCAGTTTTTCACACAATCCATTTCGTGAATAATATTCATGTTTAAACGCAAGGTGAGTATTTGAATTAGTTTATAAACTGCTGGAATTTAAGAAAGATTTTCGTGTTCTAATTTTAACTTATGCTTATTCTATTTTCTGATTTTCCTTGCAGTTTATACTTTTCATACTCTTATTCTTTTCCGGCTACACTACTTATCCATTTCTAAATTATGATTAAACGCTATCTCTTAGTGCGGGAGGACATATTTAATGGGATTCCACTTAATATTTTCTAAAAGATACCTAAGATTTTCAAAAATCGTAGAAATATTTTTCAAAAAAATGAAAAATACTTTTCACGCGCGCCTACGTGTGAAATGTTGTGAAGATTGGCCGGCAAGGATAAGTACACAATTTCTTCTATATTCTCCGAAGTCCAGTTGGCTCAGTGACGGTCTCTCAGATTTGTAATCAGAAGTATTTTTAATATACTGTTTAAAATAATAATAATTTTGCAAAAACTGTGAGATTTAACTAAATTCTAATGAACACACGCGTGGAAAAAATTAGCTGAGCATATGATACACTATAGTATATGAGCAAGTATACTTTGCTGGTCTCGATTTTTTCACGCGTGGCCAAGCATTTGACGTTCAAACTACGTCGTGAAACTTACTCTCTTTACCTACAAAATTTCGTGAAAGTCCAAGGTGACATTTCATGATCCATCACGCGTGAAAAGTCGATAAAATTTCCCCATGGATATAACGTCAACTATACATTATGTCTAAACCTGCATAAGTTTTGTTTTTTGAAAGTGCACTTCTTAGTTCTTTAGTACTATATTGACAATCATTTTTTCTAGTACTACTCACTTTGTAATTCTAATGCTGCATTTTGTCTTTTAAAATCTTCAATTGCTTTCTGATGTTGTTGATTTTTTGACTTTAAACTTCGTATATAATCTGTCGATGCTTTTAATACATGTGCGCGTGATGCCTAGAAAAAATAAAATTAATATTGAAACTACTCAAGTGGCCAAATAATAAACTTACTTTCTCTCCTTTCAATAACGGTACAGCATCTCTTAATTCGCTAAAACTTCCTTTAATATGATCACGTCGTTTTCGTTCCAGAGCATTATGATGTGCCCTTTTCTCTGCCTAAAAGGGCAGAGAATAAGTAGATAGTAAAAAATGGATTGCTTTTTCTTCTTTATGAAGAAAAATTCTACCTGATTCTGAAAATTTCTCACATTAATTGATTGTTGTAATTGTCCATTGTCACCTTCTCGACTACTACTATCACTTTCTATCATGTTGCTTTTTTAATCTAAAAGAAATTTAGTTGGTAAGATTACAAATGCTTTTGAACCTTTTTTTATTCTCAAATGTCTACGAGAAACTCGTTTGTTTGCGTATCTTCTGTATTTTTTTCAAAAATAACATCTTATGTTTTATAAAGAAAAAAGTATTAAACAACAAAATAGAGGAAAACACAAAAAAACAATAGTTCAATAAAATTTCATATAAAAATAACACAACATAAACAAAATGCTCATTTCTCTTCATCTCAGACAAAAAGTTTACTCTGATCACACGATATGTTTTGTACATATTTGACTTTGATACATTTTCTAGGACGGAAAAGAAACAAAAGACAAACATTGATAACGTTCATTGATCGGTTAGCCAGTTAAACAGAATTATTGTTTAATATTCCAACCGTCAGGCTGTTGTAATGCAGCATATTTTCTATCGACCAGTTCTAAACCAAAATTTATTGACTAAAAAATAAAAAGCAAAATAACTTATGAAATATATGTAATAAATTTTATTTTATAATTCTTCTGTGTTTTTTAATATTGCTCAGTACAAATAGGTGTCTCATATACCTGTTCCTGATTTCTGTCCATTAAACAAACATAATATTTTGTACGATTACGAATGTTATCATGATCTCGACGTATAATGAGCATTTCTAACTTGATCGTCCGTTCGGCAACGTGACACTGTTTACTGAACCAGCCTATAGCTTCTTCGGAGTACGTATCATCATTATTGCTCGTATTGTCACTTGGAATGATATCTTGTAATGAACATTCTACAGCTTGTATTGGTAAATCAAAAAATTCTGGTCTATCATAAACGAAACAATATTTACTTTAATATATTTTTCAGCATAATGATCAAATATGTGACTTACTTTAATTTTCTTAATACAGTGATTTCCATATCATCACCATCTCCATAATCAACAAATTCAACATCAATAGTATTGTTTTCAATTCGATGTACAATACCACGATACCATTTTTGATCATGTTTCTCAAATAATGCCGCTACACATAAACCGGGTTTTAATTCATCTATATTAATCATATCCTAGACAAAAACGAAAACATTTAAAATTTAAATTAAGTTAACGTTCGACATACTTCATCACAGGTACTATTATGATAATAATCTGACATTCTTTTGTTTAATTCATCTAATTGATTAATTGTACTTATTCGTTGCACCGAGAATGAATTTGGATTTACAACCGAAGATACATATATATCGACCATAATCTCATTTTCATCAAATAACATCTGTTTATATTTCAATTCAGATAATGATTGAAAACAACAATCATTGTTTATGTGAATAGGTGATGTATCGTTCATAACAGTCTAAAAAACTCATAGTTGATTTTTTAAAGAAATTTTATTTGTTATAGTCAGTTCACATCTAATCTATAACATTGAATATCGATGAAGAAAATCTTTCTTTTTGTTAGAAGAACTAGAATATATATACCTCTAATGTTTTTTGTTCGCTGTTTGATTTTGCTTCTTTTTGTTTCTGCTTTTCTTTTAATTCTTCTAATCTTGCCTCTATCAACGTCTGTAATACATGGAGAATAGAATTAGTTTTATATTTTCCGATGTTTCTTATTTTCTATGAATACTTTAGCTGTTGTTATCTGATCATTTGTACCATATATTACTAAACGATTGTAAACTGTATTTTCAAGATTATCAATAATTTTTTTATCAAAATTAAGTCGTGCACCAGTAGTTTCACGAATTTCTCTGATACAAGCACCACCTTTTCCTAAATTGAAATAAAGATAAAACATAAAGGAAGACAAATAATTTCTGATATAAAAAGTATAAACTTTTCTTACCTATGATGTAACCACATGATTTTTCTGGTATGAATAATTCAATTTCTTTATATTCGGGCATATCGGCAATCATTCGTCGTATTTCAACTTCTGCTTCGTACACATTGTTTCGGTGACCACGAATGACTAGTGTTCGATATTTGTTTGTCGTGTTATTATTATTCTTTTGCTCTTGTTCTGTCAGGTTTTTTTCGTCTTTCACAAATACACATCGAACAGAAAACTGTTGTTGAAACTAAAAGAAAAACAAGAAAATAAACAATACAACATGAATCTTTGCTTTCGTTCGTGCAGTTTAGATACGACGTGAACATTAACAGCCTTGGCAATACCAACTATGCGAACAATTTCAATAAGTGACGTGGTGTAAACTACAAATTCATTCTTTACACTGAGAAACTAACCTTTTTGATGTTTTCTCCACTTTTTCCAATAAAACCACCTAGAAAAGAAAGCATTTAATTGTGCGACATTCCGCATAAAATAGCCGTACCAACACAGTAGTGGGGAACTTGAATCTCCAATACCAAATGATCAGACGAAACGAAATGAGAAGACAGTCCTTGAAAGAAAAAAATAAACAATGACCAGATCAAGTTATAGAGGATATCCAAACCCGCTTTTTCCACCTTATTGCCAAATGTGAAGCACACGTCCAATTGGGCTCAAATTTATACCAACGATAGAACAGCGAAAAAGAAAATTGGTTTATTTTTGCTCAGAATTGTGTGAAATGATCTTCTATGAGTTTTCTGGAGATCCCAATTTTCGTCTAGTCACAATATGATCCCTCGAAAAAATGGTCTATCCTATCATATCTCAGGTTCCCAATTTTTCATTTCGAATAATATGCTTTCCTTTTCAAGATATCCGAAAAATGCTGAGAATCACCGAAAAGAAGCGACTTTCTACATCCAGGTTTCAGCATTTTTCAGATATCTCGAGAAGGAAAGTATATTTTACGAAAAAAAAATTTAAAACCTGAGATAGGATCTGGGGTATCTGTTATGAAAATTTTGACTCGAGCGGACCATTTTTTCGAGGAGTCATATTGTGATTGGATGAAAATTGGAGTCTCCAAAAAACCCCGTAGGAGATTATTTCCAACAATTCTGTGCAAAAATAAACCGATTTTCTTTTTCGCTGTTCTATCTCTGGTATAAATTTGAGCCCAATTGGATGTGTGCTTCATATCTGACAGCAAGATGAAAAAAGAGAGGGTTTACCCTTAAATGTAAATCAAGCCAAATTCTCTCACCTTTCCGACGCATTCGATACCATACAGCACAAACTACACCGAGCAATGCACTTGTGCCAAGGGCATAAAGAATGCGTCGATCTTTTATCATCTAAAATTCATTTTAAAACAATTCATTGCGAATCTCAAATTAACAATAAAGTAACGAGACTATAGAGTTGAGTAGGCATAGAATATTTACATTATATCACAGTATCTAAGTTGTTTCCCCCCCTAAATTTACCAATCACAAATACTTCTTTTAAATTTAAACTCCTGCTCAATAGTTGATTGCTCTGTTCCAGCATTTGATCTTTTCCAAAAAGTTTCTCTGCGTTTTCTCTTCTAGGTTACTTCCTTCATTCGCAAATAAAGTATGGACGATCAAGAGTGGTCGATGGGATATTTAAAACAATAATGCAACAATCATTTCTTAATCCATTACAAACTCTATGGTATCTAGTAAGTCGAAAAGATTATTCAAAGTGTCTCTAGCGCGTATTCGCTTCTTTCTAGCATTTAACATAGAACTATTAATTTATTGTATGTGATGGAGTCGTACTGTTATAATGTATCGCTACTATTTCGCTCAAATCTTAGCGGAAACTGACCTCGCGTAGAATCACAGATAAGAATACATGGATACAATAGTTTCTCACGTGAAGTGGAGAAAATTGTCTGTCTAATCGAATGCTAACAACTCAAGCAAGCAAAGTATCATTCAACGGCATCTCCAACTCAAAATGAGTACATAAAAAGTCCACTATTTGGTATTAACAAATATCAATTTGATTTTGAACTTTTGTATAAGGATAAAATATTTTTCTGGTAAAATTCGAATTGTTCCATAAATAATAAATTTTGAACTCTCATACTGAATTAGACAAAAACGGTTTTGTACAGCGACATCTGGAGATTCTTCGTAGATCTTTCCACTATTGCATGACCTACGAATTAGCGAGATTAACTGGGTCACAAGCTATGAATTTGAAGGTGTCTGGTATTTCTTTATCCAAATATCTTGCAATTATTATGAGAAACACTGAAGTGCTCTCAGAGTGTACAACTTGCATATATTTTATCTGAGTTATCTTTCCGTTTGTTCTGAAATTCGTTAGTGGAAAATTACCTGCTAGTGAGATACAGCAGTATAACTTTAAACAAGGTCCATATATACATGTTGTCGAAAGTTTTTTAAGCTCTAAAATTCAATATATACTTTATTATTTAAATAAACGCTGAACAGAAGTAGAATACAAAAGAAATCTAGAAAATATTTTATAACTTTAACAGATCCTATCTTTTACCTAATTGCACCGATCTGAGGGTCTTTTTGGCCTTATTTGACTCTTTGAGGAGGCAAACAACGGCAAATGTCCAATTCACGTGATTGAGTGTTCAGACTTGCAGATCGACATTCTGTTTCTCCTATGATCGCCGGCCTGAAAAATTCACATTTTATACTACTCCCTACCTCAACTGTATATATCTTTCATCTATGCATGTCCTTCATATAATTACAAGCTATAAACACAGTAGAAATTTATGTGCTCTCCTGAAACCTTCAGTTGTCAGATTTCTCTCACTTTGCATGGAAACATGCATACATAATATCATTCATTTACTAAACAAATCATTCAGATGACAAAAACGTGACAAAGTGGAGCAAAATCAGATGGAAAAGACAAACAGATTTAAAACAAACTAAGAAAGCGGCAAATGGAGATAGCCAACAGACTATATGCAATATGGATCACCTTGATGACTGACCCTACTTCATTAATTGATACATCCATCATTTCTGTAGCTGCCATTGGTGGAGTAAATAATTATGACGCAGTTCAAAATGTCGAACAAACATTTGTAACTATAGTCCAACGAAACATGATGACCATTAACGACGGAGCAATTAAGCCAAAACAGTCAATAAGATATCATGCGTGAAGATAAAACAAGCGAATAAGTCCATGGATACAGAATACATGGAATAAGTACGGCAGTGTTTTTTCAGATGAAGTTAAACGTACATCCTGACATTAATTTGCAGTATATCTAATGAATTTCAAATTTCTTTTTCTGGCAATGGGTCTGTTTTTCGATCAGCCAATGTTCTTTTTACTCTAGATGTCTTAAATCTATACTTTGAGAAAAGACTTGATGGTATGACAAACAAACAAAGAAAAATATTTCTATCAGCTTGCCAACTCAAATACATTAGATGTTTTGGACATATTAAAAAAATTAGTTTACTCAGTCGGTAACATTCTTTGGTTTTTAAACAGTTTCATCAGATTCTGCAAAATATTTTCATTTTTTACATAAATTATATATGATTCTAAACGAAATTCAGTTATAATAAAATATTTCTTCATTTTTATTGTATTTTATTCTTATGTTGAGAAAATTTAGATTATATACCACGAAAAGTATTTGTTGAACGACTCATCGCTTGGAAATAACGTGTTACAATGTACGATAACACGAATATAATTATCAAAGAAATTAAATTGTAGTTGAGCTGAGTTGAATCACTACGTACAGCACTGACAGTACTCGATGAAGCTGTAGCAGTCAATAGTAATCGTGTTGTTGTTTGATCACAATAAAGTGGTGTACCCGGAAAGTTTCTGTCCGGTTGACATATTGCATTTTGACCTAATACTGCATAGACGGCATTGTACGATTGCGTTACGTAGATATCATTGTATTGGACTTTATTCGAATTGATGGCTGAAATAAAAGTTGATACGGTATCAGTTTTATTATTATGAAAGCTATTTTCTAGGTAAAGCTTCAGTTATGAGTATCTCACATACACTGGAAAGCGATTACGATCTTGGCAACAATTTTTATTGAAAAAAAACTAGAAATATCAAACTTTTTTATGATTTTAACTGACAGAAAGAGGAAAGCGAGGAGAAATAAAGTCGATAATTAGCTACATTTTTGACATTATGCAATATTAAATAAAAAACTTAATTCGTTAACTTTTTACTGAAATCTCAAAGTTAAGATTTTTTTTCGATTAAAAATTGAAAACATATTTTGCTAGAAAAATGTTGTCATGGCAACCGGCAGAATCTGAATAATTTCGTTCATTAAGAAGTAAAAGTTGGAAACTAAACGGGAAATAAAAATTAATTAATAAGAAAAGAAAACGAATAATATATTAACAAACAGTTTTGAATGCGCAAAAGAAAATATTCGCAATTAAGTTCAAATTTTTTGAAAATCATGGCTATTAAGACTTTTCAACTTTTCTGTATTCGACAGAAAGATTAAAAAATAAATACGAAAAATATCGTGCCATCAATAATAGAGCACATATTAATGATAAATTTATGTTAGTGTTCGATCTTCCACTGGAAAATGTTGATATAGTATCGACACGTATAATTCTTCCCCAACTTGTTGTTGCTGCTAAACATGATATCGGAGTTGTTATTGTTGATATGTTTGTTGGATATGGCGTAAGACCTCCAGTACATGGAGTGTCCAAACCATAAATATACCAAGTTTCGTTTATTCGTTCGTCAATTATACGATTAGTACGTACACTTGATGTACTTGAGCTCAATGCTAGAAATTAAATACTTAACTTTCAGTCACAGATGAGTCCTTACGGTAAAATTTACTAAGATAATAAAACTGGAAGGAGAAGGAGAAAAGTTTTTCTTAACAAAATCCACTTAGCACAGGAAAATGATTAATTATTGAAGAAGAGTCTAAAGAAGGAAAATGATCACTATTTTACTTACATGGAAGTTGTGTGAGTAATCCAATTGAAAGCCCAAGTAAACCAAGTAACAGTGGTAATAAACAACATAGCCAAAGCTAAAAAAAGAGGAGGTATACAATAAATACTTGTTGATCTAAAAGATTGTCGCCAGTATATTTTTATGCGAGAACCCTAATATACTTTATCAAATTCGCTAGAAACGATTTATCTTTACTTGGTTTTGTATATGTTTTTAATCTAAGTATTAAAGTAGTGTTATAGATATTTCATACATACCCAACATGGACATGCACAAAACCATTCCAGGCATGATAAACATGGACAAAATCTTGCGCACCATCCCGTACAGCAATTACAACATCGATAACCAGGCACATCTGCATTCTGAAGGAAGAATACTACATTTGTAGATCATTTTTCGAAGCAAACTAATATAAGTTACATTTTTACAAAAAGATTACAGTTAATTTATGTACTCGTATGCTGTGGAAATTTGTTATCTTGACTCACATCATCATCATTGTTTGTATATCAGAGATTTGTATGAACTCAAAACTGACTTCCGTTTTTTAAATAGATTTCTCTTCGTGTGATTTCGGCTTCTCAAGGAGCTTCTGGATATATGCAATGTTTCTTACAGAGAAGACTTGCTTTGTTATTCTGTTTTACATTTGACTGATTCATTTTCTTCAAAAATGATGAAGCTGGTAGGATGTGCAACAAATGTGTTAGTTATTAAACTCAATCTTCCTTGTTAATATGCTATCAAAATTACATAACAATTGCATACAGACACTATACAATAACTCATCACAGAGCTCTACGTTACAATATAGCGTGTGGTGATTATTGATTTAAACATGGCAAGGTCTCATTAATTAAACTGCATTTTAACGATATAGAATAATATTTTAAATGATGATGAGTAAATAAATATATCTTTTTCTTCTTCTTTTCTCGCTTAATAACTTTGTATAGAAAAAAAAAAAATATGTTGATCGACACCTTTTAATGTTCTCTCCTTAGAGCTAAAAGAAAACAATTATAGAAAAATATGTTATTGAAAATAATAATGTACACACACGCGACCACCTCTAAACATATAGAAATTGTTTGCGAAAAATAAAAAATTAACAAATAGTCAATCGGGTCACATTTTTTTCACCTTTTGTTGACGACAACGATCAAAATAGCGTTTTGTATATCGTCACATATTTCACATCATCTGATCACAAGTTAATGCAAAAGTTTCTACTAAACGATCGAAATCTAACACATTAACAACATTTCTTACGACACTTTTATTCATATACTGATAGTTAAAGCTTTGAAAGATTAGTTTTGAGAAAATGAGTTGATATCATATTTTAACTTTTTGTTTTTTTTTGAGTTTTAAAAAGAAAAAGTTGACTTACCCTATAGCGAACTCTTCTTCCATCTTTTGTTATTCTTGTTTTGTATGAAACAACATCTTTTCGTCGTGAAAAACTATTCATTTTACAACAATTTCCACAACTTCTAAAACAATCTCCAAAACAATCGCAATTACCACAATCACCACACATATTTGTTGTTCGACCTCTCCGATTATTATAGTAATATTCATCGTAATTGGAATTAACAAGTTGACGACGATCATCTATGATAACTTGATCACGTCTATCAACCATAGCACGATCATCAATAATTGTTGTTCTTGTACTTGTGTCTGGTCTTTCAATTATTGTTCGAGTAGGCGGCGTTTGTTCTCGAACTTGAATGATACGTGTTGGAGGAGTTCTGGGTTTTTGTACCTGTATTATTGTCGGAGGTTGAACTACTGGTGGTTCACGAATGTATGTTGTTGTTGGTTGAACTGGTTCGGGTTGTCTTATAATAACTCTTTTGGTTGATGGTTGTGCAGAAGGAACCCGAATGATAACGTTTTGTGGGGGTGTCTCGTCTCGTTGAGTGTATATCCGTGTATCATTATATGTCGGCTCGGGCGTTCTTATAACGAGTGGTGGTGATGGTGGAGTAGTAACGACGATTGGCTCCTCCCTTGTTCTTTCTCGACGAAATATGTTAAACTACAAAGAAAATATAATATTTTATTACAAATGTTAAAAGTTTATTTGAAAGTTTTTAAAACAATACCGTTTTTGGTTTTGGTTGCAGATTAGACGGATTTAACACGACAGTTTCAGTTTGTGTTTCTAGTGGCTGCTCGATAATAAATGGTGTTGATGGTGGTTGTTCTGGAACATTGATAACATAATTATTCGGCTCCTGTGATGTATTATAGAGTGTTGTCGTTGTTTTTGAAGTGGATGAATGTGGTGGTGTTGGACGAGTAATTTGAATTTGTGGAGGCGTATTATTCGAAGAACGAAGTGTTTCAGTAGTAATCGTTTCCGTATATCGAACTGGTGGCAATTTTGTCTCGGTGACAGTGATTGTCTCAATAGCATTTGGATGTTGAATAGTATGAACTTGAACCGTTTCTGTGGGTTTTTGATTTGGATCAGTCGGATGTTCTTGAATGGTTGTTGTTCGCTTTGTCTCGGTGGCATTTGGATTTCTGATGGTCTGAACTTTAACTACTGGAGGCGGTGGATGTTGCTGTTGTTGAATAGTTGTTATATTAGTGCGTCTTGTTTCGGTAGGCATTTGTGATTGTAGCGATGGTTGATGCTGCTGTTGTTGAATAGTTGTTATATTAGTGCGTCTTGTTTCGGCAGGTATTTGTGTTTGTAGTGATGGGTGATGTTGCTGTTGTTGAATAGTTGTTGTAGTAGTGCGTCTTGTTTCGGTAGGTATTTGCGATTGTAGCGGTGGTTGATGATAAACGTCGTCAAAATCATTGTCATCAGCAGATACACGATAAAAGTTTGGTGCCGCTTTTTTCGGTGCTTTTGGTTGATTTTTTATAGCATTAATTTCATGTCGTTGACATATTTCGCATAAACCGGTGGCAGGATCGATGATATGCTTCATACTGTTGACAACAATTTATTTACTGTTGTAATCATGATTATTTTGTTTTTCCGTAATGCTATGAAAACCGATTAAGATCTCAGCATGAACTCAATGAAAGAAAAAGAAAGAAAGAAACAAACTGAGTGTATTCAATTAACTTATGGATACAGTATTTTTTTAATGTTGTTATGATAAAGTTTCATCGTTGCTTTAGAAAATTTTCAAAATATATGCAATAAGAAACCATAATCATAAAATATTCGTACAATGGTGAGGACAATTCTTATCAGTAAATTCTAAATGTGGGTATTTGAACTGACAATTTTGTATTCATTAAAACATATTTTTATCTTAAATGCTTAACCTAATTTGAATATTTTTGTCTACTATTAGCGTTTTAGATGTCAATTTTAATTCACGTGCATACAAATAGTATCCTATTTAAGTACGAATAAGAGACTATTTGTTTCCGATATTCATTGTTGAATAAGGTAATTTATTCAAAAACATAATTTGTTTCGAACTGACAACGGAAGTTCATTGATATTTTCAATAAGTCACCTATTCATGATGTGACTTGCTCTCTCTCTCTCTTCCTCTCTTAATTTCTATGAACCAATTTACTATGATTTATGACTATATCTTCTTTATATATCCGTATATGGTTCATGAAAAACATTACATCAGCACATCTTTTACTCATATTATTGTTGTACTTCAGTTGAACCATTCTTTTTTTTATTGGAAAATAAGAGCCAAATATCGAACGAAAAACTATAAATGACTTTTTTATTGTTAAATCAAACATTTCCCGTTATCACTCTTATTTTACATCAAAAACAAGATTGTTTTTCTAGTCAAATGCAACCAATTGAAAGTGAGAATGAGAGTGATAAAAAAATCTTTCTTCTGGAGTTTGAAAAATGTAAATTTACAGTGAAATAAAATGTTTTATTAGAAACAAGAAATTATCTTAGTATCATATATATTTATTAATTTCATAGCACAAAACAAAAATTGAACACATAAAACGTTCAGAGAAAAACAGCACGTATGTCTGATTCTGATTTGTCTCTCTTGTCCGTAATCGTGGTCTCTCTCTCTTCCGAGTGGAGGGGCGGGAACATGGACTACTAAAAAAAGTGAACAAAAACAACTGACTTTAAAAGAAAAAATAACAATATCTGGGAAAATGAAAGAAAAAAACGAACAAAATAGGGAAGAATACAAATATTCCTACGATGTTTCAAAGAATTCTACTGTTGCTCGTCTATTATAGCATCAGACAATTTGTTTCGAGAGAGAGAGAGAGACAGAGAGAAAAAAACCGGGTGTTTTATATTTTATAAGTACGTGTGTATATATATATATATATATATATGTTACAAAGTTTTGTCTGTTTTTAAAACTTTGTTTAAGAATATTTTTCGTAAATGTTCGGGTGCTGTTACCGCGTCACATTGTGGACAAAGTTTTTTTTCTTTAAGACATTTCATCCAACATTCTTCACAATTTATATGCCAACAAACAGTGGAAACACATGGTTTTACACATGATTCCTTTGAAAAAAGACAAAAATAAATTAATGAAATTCATAATTTAGTCAAGATAAAAAATTTTGTATGAAAAAAAAAAGAAATAGACCATTGTCTTGTACTTACTAAGCAAACAAGACATTTAGGTGGATCAATTTCATTTATTTCAGGTGTTTTTGGAGAGCGTTGAAAACTAAAAGATGAGAGAGAATGAACATAGAATTTTTATTTTTTAATTCTAATGTGTAAAATTACTACCTTAGATCACTGTTAAACGATTCTTGACATCGATTACTTGTATCACTAGAATATTTTCAAATTAAATATGATTAATAAGAAGATTTGTTTATCAATTTCATGTTACCTTTGATTTGGGGAAGATAATTCTTGTGCACCGCCACCTCCACTTGATGATCCTAATGAAGTAGAAGATGTGGTTGCTTTAATTCGTTTACACGCTCGTTCATTGATGATGTCATTCTCTGTATCTGTATCAACAACATTAATATCAGTCTCTTCTGTTTCAGTAGGAGGAATAATTAAATTATTATAACCATTCATAACTAGAAAATACAAAAGATGTATTATTTTGATGATATTCAATATTTTCTATCTTGAAATAATCGTCATTTGGATGGAAATAGAAGGGAATGTTGTTTTCTGAGGATTTTATCAAATAATCAGAATAAACATGTAGTAAATAATCTTTTGCATATTACCGTGTGAGAGATTAGCAGCTACTTGGCTGGCTTGTAAAGCTAATGCACGATTCATACACTCCATTGGTAGTCGTTGATTCATTGTAGCTGCTGTTGCCGCTGCAGCAAGATGTTCTCTCTATTGTACAAAATAGAAATACCAATAATTGTTTAAATGCATAAAAATTAAGAATATTCAATACCTTTTTTGAACATTGTTGAACATGTGTATAAAAAAATTCTTCATCATTATTAGTTGTTACTGTTTGATAACAAATTGGACAATTTCTAGTTTCACGACTACCTCTTCGATGAAGTAGTTTTGCTAAATATAAATTATATTACATAGATTATAGAAAATAGATAGAATAAAAATATTAATCATATGTTCTACTCTTACCATTAAGTCTTTGCTGTCGACTTGTACGTACTCTTAAATAAGTCTAAATAGGAAAATGATGAGAAATTATAAATAAAAATTATTATTAAATTATTATAATTCTTACTTCATAACGTGTTTTACATGTTTGATCAATATTGTTAATATTATTCTCTTGTAAAACCTATAAGTGTGAAAAATGACTGGTTGATTGTTTTTTAAATCGAAAATCTCTTATCGATTTATATAGTCTAATGATATCATACGTCTATCTATTGTGATTTATTTACATATACATATAGACAAAAAGAAGATGATTTCTTACTAAATAATAATCTCTAATATGTTTCATACAATATATACACAGTTTAAGTTATAGAATGCATGAATGATAAGAAACTATTATCATGTTTAACACACAAAGTGTTTATATATTTGACATGATTAATGGAATAACGCGTGGTTGACTGACTGAGTTCCATATGTAACAGAAACAAATGTGAGAATTTAAAAAATATATAGAAAAATATGTAATATTAAGTATATTTTCTCAAAAATCTCAATATAGACATAAACACATACGTATGGTTAAAAAAAATATGTTATCTTACTTTATTTGGTAAATGATGATCGCCTCCATTTGAATTTGTACGATATTTTGAATGTCTATAAATTTAATTTTATATTTAAATTTTATATAGTCGAATAGAACAAGATTCTTTATTACCTTGCACATCTTTCCATGGCTTCTAATTCTAATTGAATATGTGTAGCAATATCTGAACTATGTAGCGAAACGTTACATATCGGACATAGTGGATTGTGTAAATCAAATGCTGAACGACATCGATTTTCTAAAAGAAAATATTTATTATATCTACAGCAGATTGAATATTAAAATAAAGATGAGTATCACTCATGTTTATAAGGAATAACAACATATATCGAGAGTATTAGGAACTGTGTTGATTTCATAGAATATTGTTCTACAAAACTGTTAGCAATTCTCAAGAGAAATGACTGTTTATTCTCATCAACGAGACAATAAAAAAAAAAGGTATAAAATCAAATGTAGAATGATTTATGAAAAATACCATATGAATGTCATCTAAGTATAAGTAAAATACATTGAATGATTACATTTTATATTCAATACAAGGTAAATCTTATTTGATTGTCACAAATTTGAAGAGTGATCATTCTCATAATAATTCAAGTTCAAATATTTTCAAAAAAAATTTATTTTCTATTAGAATATTTGTATACTTTGTTTAAGGAAGTAGTTCACGCCATATATAAATTTTTATATTATTATTAGCGAATCATTTTTTACATCTGTCTAGAAAAATTTAAGCAACGCCCAATGACAATTAGAATCATAAATCACTATCGTTATATCGATGGTATACGAAAGAAAAGTGAAATGTAACATAGTCTCTAAACGATCTCATCGTTTATATTGTATACATATAGAAGTAGAGATTGACGACCTATGAGCAAATATTCGAAATAGTCGTCATTATTATTATTATTATCATATAACATAAAAAATTCCCTCAAGTATCGATGTATATGAAAAAAGATAAAAAAAAAAAACGGGTTACAATTACTAAAAAAAAAAATAGACGAGCGTATGGTCATTATTTGATGAATATGTTTCCTTCTTTTTTTTTTTTTTTATTGAAAAATGAAAGTGATGTGTCGAATAGTTTTTATTGCTCACTCACTTGGCTTCAAAATAAGAAATAAAAAGAATTTCTAATTACTGTATCATTGCATGATAAGAAGGTATACACCATATGTTTACAAACTCATCAAACTATGCTTATATATATATCGAGTCAATTTTTGGAAGATAAAAAGAAACAAAACAATATTGTTCAGTTTTTAATTAATTTCTAGCCATCATTCTATTTATTCATTCTTTCACACAAAAAGCAATTTTTTAAATGATGAAAAATTTTCTAGTGTTAAAGATGTTGTTCATTTTACAATATATTTACTCAAAGTATATCGACTATAATATAGAAATATCGTCTAGAGCCAAAAGATATTTGGAAAATATTCAATTTGGTAAAGTGGAAAATATATGTTTTCAGCTGTTGATATTTGTTTCACCAGAATTCACCTGTTAATCGAGATAATAATCAGTAAAAATACAATGTTATTAGTTATGTACACTCTTTTCTTTCTCTATCTCTCTTGGTATTTACTTGTTACTCTTGTGTATAAACAAATAATAGTTGTAAGGCAAAAAAAATATTTGTAAGAGAAAAAATCAAGTATAGTTACAAGATTTGTTTAATAAGCTTGTTAATAACTTGAATACATCTTTATTGAACATATTTTTTATTATATTCCCATTTTGGTTCGTTAAGTACATCGACACATGCCAATATACAATATATAAGTACCCGTTAGCTAAACATTATCATATTCTATTTAAAATCGTCTCTCCCCAATGAGCAATCATATTTTTATAATAAAACAAATGTTGATTGAGCTTAGTCACAATGACACATACAAACGAAACAATAATAAGTGTTGATTGAGAGTTTCTAGGGAAAGTTGACGGCTGACGTTTTCACCAAAACAAAAAACAAAAAAAAAAGAAAATAATTAACATATTCAGTCGTTCTTTTTGATCATAAGTACAAGATATTACTATTTTATATATTTTTTTTCTCTTCTATTATTTAGTGCATATTACACCTGGACTGTTATGGTATATTTAGTAGAATTTTTTCTTTCCTTCTATGATTTTGAATGAGCAAAATTATTTATTGAGCCACTTTTTGAAAGCTGTCTCCTATTAAATATCGATCGATCAATCAATCGGTCTATGTTTGATGTTAAAACATATTGTTTCAAATTAAAACAATTTGTTTCGCTTTTATTTATGCATGATTTTAGACTTTTAGACTTTTTTTTTCTTTTTACATATTTAATATTATGGCAATAGCATTGATTATTTCCTTAACATTCCTTTGTTTCATATAGTTCACAATGTTCCACAAGTTTCAGACGACATGTACAACTCAACAGATAAAATGTTTAACTAAATTTTTTAGTTGTTTGATTAATTTATACCTCTCACACTGGTCAGATAGGTGTTAAAATGCCCACGTTTCTCACATCATTAGACATATAAATGGATCATTTTCTTTCTAATATGAAGTGTTAACAAACATATTTACGAGCAAAAAACTATATATTGGTAAAATACTGCACATTCTAATTAAAATAAAACAACAGACCAATGAATGATTTGAATAAAGTGATAATAGTATTTTCTTTTCTTGAGATGAAATTGAGCAGGAAAAGTAATATACTGGAGACTTTTTTTTAAAACGATTTATTTCACCGTTTTCATGTAGGATACAGAAGACGTTTTTAAACTTGAATCTAAGCTAACTCAATCTTATAATGATCAAATCGTAAAACAATTTTTCTCAGAAAAAAATTCTCAGTATACGATGTTTTAACACTGACGGAAACAAACCACAAGTTGTCGCTGCCCTCTATTGTAATCAGATCGTTTGTGATGATGAATATCGATTTTGTTTTTGTAGGTTATACAATTAATTGACAATTGCAAGATACAACTGAACTATTAGTGATAAATGGTCACTGACAGTTATCAAAGGAGTTCTAACTAATTTCATACTATTTCTAAGGAAACTCAAAGGCTATGGTTATCAATCTTAGCCATTATTCTCTTATTTTTCTAAAAATATCTTCATTTAAGATTAAGATTCATCCTTCTATTCATTCTTGTACTTGTAAAATATCTAAACGGTGTAAATTCATGTTTACTTGTTAAGTTCTCATTTCACTTCCCATCTTGCAAAGTGATCATCATTGTATTTAATTAACTGATGAAGAAAAAGACGAAGAAGAAGGGTGGAGTAGGTTACTAACATCCTCACTCTAAACGAATAACAACGAAAAATTTGTTCCGTTTAAATTTTTATCACCATTTTTTTCCGTAATGTACTGTTAGATATATATAGACAAAAACAATCAAGGAAATGTGTTACAGCAGGAAGCTCATAAATGATTTTTTTCACTCTCCCTTTCTCAGACACCTGATGTGTGCAATTTAAAATTAAAAATAATGCTGTATGGTGGTTGTTTTTCTTTCGAAGACGCGCAATATGAGTGACGTATATACACTTGTCCAAAATGTTAAAACAAGTTATACTCTATCAAACAGTGGTAGTAAGCGCCATGAATAAGTCGTCGATTACAACGAAACAATAACAACTATTGTGTAATTTAAATATATTTCGTTGATATGCTTTACGCTTCATCGATAATACTTTTACACATTCTCATTTATGTTAGTGGATGTGAATATAGTAGCAACAGACTTTAATAAAAACCTGAAGGATAGCGTGAGCCATGTTACCTAATAAATATGAAAATTTGTAAATGTATTAGCTAGTCAAAATCTTTTCATAACAATAATTTGAATTGAAAATTTTCAAAACATATTTTAATGTTATTCTAGCACTGAAATATAGTTCTGATATCCTATAAAAGCGGTACATCATATAGAGTTTGTTAACACTTTTCTTTAGATGATCATATAGATAGTCGATTCAACTAGTAACTAACTAATACAATTTAAAATAGACAAATTTCTTATAAAGTTATAGATAAACTTCAAATTTGATTTCATCCAATTACGACCAAAAAAATTTAACAACAATATGAACAGTTGTTTTCAAAAACAAAAATAGAAATTGTCATAATTGTCTGTAGAAGTGCTAAGATTGTATTACAAGACATATTGTGTGTATCGCTGATCTTTCTATCTCATTCACTTTCGGTAATATTTAAAACAACTAGGTGACAAAAAAAAATAAAACATGTTTCTTTACGTACCAGAATATTTTCCAAAGCTATCGTCACTCGATCGTTCTGATGGTGTATCACATCGATTTTCATCGCATCCATTCACTTGTGATATTTCTCCACGTTCACTCTTTGGAGTTAAATGATTATCACAATCGACTGTTGTATCACGTTTAAATTTTTTTGCCGGTACAAATGCAGATTCTGATGTTGATGAGGATGAGGAGGATGAAAGTAATGATGCTGAATTTGTTGTAGATGTATTAATCAATGGTCGAAAAGCATTTACATAGGGATATGTATGATGAAGTAATGTGTTGAAAAAATGATTTGCTGCTGCTGGAGTATGATATCTCATGTCCGGTTGAATAAGTGTATTAACACTGAATGCGCCATTAAACGCTGCAACAGCGGCTGCCATCGATTTTTCCGATCCAGTGGAAGAATTTGTATTGTTGACTAATCCATTTGTTCGAACATTTCTAAAAGCGGTTGTCATATCAAATGTTGAATGATGTTCACCGTAATTACGAGAGGATAGTGATGGTTGAACTACTGGTGGCCACATATGATACATAATAGTTGGTACGTTTATCTCCTGTACATTTGTATTGTATGAAAAAAATACAAAATAATGGAGTATACTAAATGCAAAGAGAAATTATATAATGGTGATTGAACACATATTAATGATAAAAGAGACTCACACAAGTAAAAAATAAAATGACCAATTGATGGTGTGTATAGAATTTACTTCTTTTTTCTTTTCTTTTCAGCTAGATCTCATTAACTTTTGGGTGAGTCGTTTGATTTGTTAGTTTATCTTTAGTTGATCAGTTAAATTTAGTCTATATGCTATTCGATTGTGAAAAGAATTGGTTGGACGACGACGCAGAAAAGAAGAAAAAAAAAGAGAAACATTGAATTTTTTCAAGTTAATTTGTGATTGGTTTACATCAAAGTGTATAAACGAATTATTAACTAGAAAGAGAAACAAGAAAAAAAACTTGTTCATATTATTCCAATTTTCTCACATATACATCCAACAGTAAACATAATGTGCGTGACGGCGAAATACATATTCATTCATCCATTTCTAAGGCTTCATAAATATTTTTTCTGCTTGTATAGGTCGACATTTGATTTTCTCTCTCTGTCTCTCTCTGCTTTTTTCTCGATGTCTATATTGACTGTCAAGCTCTCTCTAAGTATATTCTTTTTCTTTCTAGTTGACTTCAGAGAAGCTCGTTTACTCGACAACAGCAGCAGTAACACACATCTCGTTGCTGACTACTCACATTACTCTTCTTCTTCTTCTATCTTTTTCCCTCGGCTTTCTCTCTTCTTCTTCAATAATAGAAAGTTATTATAGCTTCACCCCCACATCGTTCTAAAATAACTACTATTTATCGATGTCAGAGGTTTTTTTTTCTTTTTTCATGCCTTTGTCCAATAAAGAACATAGTGCTTAATAAACGAGTTTCTAATTGGTCGTAAAAGAAAACTATGCATTCTTGAGGCAATCTAGATACACAGAAACGGAAAAAAACTGTCTATGTATATGTACCGAAAAATCAACCATAAACTAAAAAATAATCGACAAGAAACATATTATGATGACGAAATACAGTATAACATGAAGCATTACATAGTTTGTCATGTCACTCATATATGATAAACATATGCGTAGACATCTTTCTTATATAATTAAGTAACCACAAAGAATGGTAAAGAAAATAATAAGAACAACAAAGATATTGACTCCAACTATATTAAATTTACCAATATGCTCAAGACACATTCGAGAGACAAAAATTATAGAAATTTTAAATAATTAAAATTAAAATAACATCACCATGCCATAGAATATTTTAAAATTGACAAAAGAAGATTATTTTTACGACATTTTCATGAGCCATCGGCCCCTCCCCGTTCCCAAAAATCACTATTAACTGCCCTCAAAAGTAAATTGTATATCAAAACTGATCACAATGTCAGAAAAGGCTTTTGTCTTGATCACATAAAATGTAAGGCAACTTTTCATCTAAATTTCTTCTCTGATTAAATTGATAAACTTTACAATAAACAATCGAATATATTTCGATATTGTTCGTTCAATTTTCTTGCATAATTGAATAGTGAGAATTTTGAGAATCTAAAAAAATTAAATTCAGTTTTTTTGGTGTCAAATCTTATAATAGATATATATAATAGAAGTTTGAATGGTCGTTTATGTAACAAACAAACATTTACTCAACGATATATAAATATATACAAAAGAAAAAGAGAAGAAAAGTCGTTTATTATTCGCCGAACACACGCACGTCATGGTATCTATATAATCAAAAAATATATATAAAGAAGAACATGATCGATGGGTTTTTATTATTTAAAATTAGGTTCGAATGATTCGTATTGACGAGCACTTGATTGCTCAATAGTCAAAAATTAGAATTTAATGAGCATGAAACACTTATTAAACGTATTGATTATAAGTTTCTTCTTTTTCTATTTTCTCAATCTAAATCATAATATATGTTTCTCTTCTTATTTCTTTTTTCTTCTTCTTCTTCTCCAAGTGAAATAGAATAAACAACGCAGTTGAAAATGATAAGTACAACTTAAAATTGATTTTTTTTACTTCTACGTAATAATTACAAGGAACATTGACATATAAAAGTGTTTGATTGACAATGAAACATGAATAAATTATAAAAATTGTCGCATAAAATGTACAGTGAATAATTCATACTTGAAATTTGGACGTAACTGGATGATTGATGGTTAGAGACAAATTTTAAAGCAGTTCGAAGATACGACTTTTAAGTAAAAGAAAGTAGAAGATTCTTTTTTCTCAAAAAAAAAACGGGTTCTGATCAAAGAATGAAGATATTTGTTGTTGTTGTTTTTTACTGCTGTGGAGCAGAGACATATTACTAGATTTAAAATAAGCACATTTTTGAATTCATATTGAGAAAGTGTCCTTATTTTTAAATATTGAATAAACAAAATTGAGCAACAAAATGATGAAATCATTTCATAAGATGTTTTATAGTTTGATTTGATGACAGTACGATATTTTAATAGTAGAGTAACTTACTCATTGTTTATTTTGTTTCATTTGCTTGTTCTGTGATTGACAAACACGTTAAAGTTTTTTCTTTCTTTTTTTAAATACTTAACCATATACACTCTGCCACTGTCTTCATAAGTTAATGTCTTTTTGAACTTCCTTTCACGAATATCAGGCTCCAGATGCATTTTAGGGACATTTAAATAAATATTAAGATGACTTTTCTTCTTCTATGGCTATTCTTCATGTGTAAAAAACATGTTTCATGGCATACTTCATTTAATCAGAATATAATAAAAGAAAACACGCTTACAGTAGACATAAAATATCTGTTATTGCTTTTTTTTTTTTTTTTTTTGTTGCTTTTCGATAAGTTGACGTTTGAATTATTCTCTTAAAATTGTGTCTATTCTATATCTTTCAGAAACTTTAACCTATCAAAGATAAAAGAAAATTGAATAATATTAAACCTAACGTTTATCAAAGGATGGTCTCTCTTCATTGAGTTCTATATAGTTCAAAGTTCTGTATAGACAATAAAAATTAAACCCCATAACACTTATGTTGCGGTGTTTTCTCTCATTGTAAAATGGCTCATTGAAAATCGTTCAACGCTAACTTTTTCATGTTAAGTGATGCAGTCGACAATTCTGATAGAGAGATAGTTTTTAGTTTTGTTCAATTGAATATGTTATTTCTTATTTTTTCAAAAGCAATATTTTGTCTTCTTTTTTCTTTTTCTTTTTTGAATATTTCATCACTTAAACATTTTTTTTTCTTTCTTTCTTTCTCTCTTTCAAAATTGTCGGTCCTATTATTAACCAATCAAAAAACAAATTGAGTGTTAATGAACGCTATATTAGACTGTCATTCCTAAAAATTATAAACACAACAATATACCGGAAATAATACTAACTATTATAATCAAAAAATTGTTTGCCGACAACGCATCATCTTCAACACAATGTTGAATTATTCAAAAACTTTTTTTCTATATGACAATATCTGAAACGTATGATCTTTTTACAGTCTGAATCAAACATGTGTTCTCCTCTATTTATCTGTTGATCAATGAGAATATGTGAAGACAGGTATAAATAATTGAAAACTTGTAAATGTAGGAAAATAATTGAATAAAAATAATTGTGATCTGTTATTATTTGAATGACATTCATCCTATAATTGATCTTGAATTAATGAGGTTTATATGCACACACACATATACAAAGATATCGGAAAAAATTGAAAACTCATAAACATGAAATGAGATTGTGTGAATGTCAAAAATTTTTCAAAGATATATTTTGTGGTTGTCTTAATCAATACTAGACCATACTAAAAAATTAGTAAGCGTTGTGTTTGTAGACAATCATCTGTCTACAAGATCAAAAAAATAAAAACGACGTTTGTTTGTACATAATAATCATCAGCATAGCACTTGCAATTCGTTCGGTATCGTTTCATATATTTTCGGTTGTTTATAACAAAAGTATGTATTATTAGCAGAGAAAAAAAACGAAGAAGAAATGTGTATGTGTGTGGTCTGATAAATGTAGGCAATAACAGAGGGCCATTTATATTGTCATTAATTTTGCGTTGTGTAGCAATTATTGGACGATAATCAAAGACATTTATGAACTTTCAATGCCACATAAAAACAACAAATAACGTACTAAATAGTTAGAAGAACTATAGTAGTAATAGCAGAAGAAGAAAATAGTTCGATGATGTGTTACTCTGTGATGGTATCAGACTGAATAAACGACTACAAATAGAAGAAAAAAAAATGTGTGCCTAACTACAAAAATGCCGCTAAGCAATAAAAACTATTCGCATCTCTAACTTGCATGATAACAACCTTAAATTCGCAAATAATAGAAGAATAATTTCTGGAATTTGAGTCTTATTGGGAATCGGGAAAAAAAATGATGTACATTTATTAGACGATACTAACAACCAAAAATAATATTTATTCAAAATCATTACTTTTAAGTAGTCATCTCTTACCTTAACAAATAAAAAATATACGACTATCGATCTTCTGATTTTAGACAAGAAAATCGAGAAATGTGAAAGTTGAATGTCACTAAAAGAATTGAATAACAAACTATAGTCATATATAGAGATGTAAATCCACTGCTGTCGCCAATCAGTTTGTTTTGAAAATCCTACATCGTTGCCACCTATTCAAAATACTATAAGTAAAATTGTTTTGACGAAGATGACAAGCAAGTAATCGGCTAATGTCATCAGCCATATCCCAGCACAGTGTCGACTATTATAAAATAATCAGAAGGTAAGTAATTAAGAAAAGAAACATATCCAGACAAAAATCTATACCGTTGATAACAAAAGTGGGTTGCTACGTAGATCGATTTCATAGAATTGTAAATGACGATTTACAATCAAATGTGGTCGTATTTCATGTAGACGTTGTTATATACAACCGTTGTAAAAAGTCGTACACGATTGTAAACGGTCAGAAACGTTTTCTTTACGGTCGTCGTATACGACAAAGTATTACGTCAGCATTAGAGGTCCGTGAGACGATTCCGGTCCCGCGGGACTTTTTACGGAACCGGAACCAGATTTTTTTGAAAATAGTCTTTCATGAAGCATAAAAATTTCTTAATTTCTGTAGCCTTTTGGCACTAGTTTTTGCAAGAAAGAACTCACACAAAATTCTAAAACTCTTCAATTAATAATCTCAATAGTGCTATTTTTGAAGTCAGTGTCGGGCCGATATACTTTGTTCAAAGTTCAAATGTTTGTGAAAACAGCTAGAGAAACAAGTCTGCGGGACCGGAACTAAAAAAATTTGGTTCTGCAGACCTGTAATCTGCATGTATACGATGATTTACGATCAGATACGGTCGTTTACTACCTCATTGTGACCGTAAACCGATTGTAAATAGGCGTTTACAACGGTCGTTTTCGTTAGCCTGGATATGTATTTCCTTTATAGTTAGATGTCGCAAGTTGTCGTTATATTAAGGGTACCCCTCCCCTCTTTTTGGGCTTTCCGTAGAAATGCCGTGAAATAAAAACTAAAAGTCGCTAGGGCTTCGCATTTTCAGAACTGATCGGAACTCAATGGAGCACTTTTTCGTTCTTGTTTCAAGTTTTCAAGTACTGCCGTTCACCAGTTTTTCAGAAAACTCGGTTTTTCATTGTGCAACATTACGACCCCCCTTAAATTTCATCCGATTGCATTCAAAATTTTACCAGAGGTACTCAAGGTCATTCCGCAGAGCTAATTTTTCGGAAATTTTTTTCAGACCTTCCTGGTCGAGTTATAGGAAAAATACTGAAAAACGTCTCAAAAACCAAGCTTTTCAATTTTGGAAACCCTATAACTTGGTAAAGAAAAATCTAAAATAAAATTCCAAAAAAATAGCTTTGCAATAGGTCTTGAGCACCTCTGATAAAATTTTGAACGCGATCGGATGAAATTCAAGGAGGGTCGTTATGCTCGATCGTCCCTTCCAGAGGACATCACCATAACTGCTAGAAAGTAACGCAGCGCTAAATCAAAATTTTTTCAATCGAATTTTTTTCCAGCGTAAGCTGACACTATATAAGCTAACGATTGCTCATAACAAAAAAAAGTTTTCATCAAGTCTACACAAAGGTATACATGTTTCAAGTTTGATTTGTATGATCAGTTGCAGGGTGTAAAGGGTTAACTAAATGGGTTATACTTCCTTTATTTTTTCCATTTGTATACTACCGTTATTGTCAGATTATATTCCCTTTATTTTTGGCTGCAATGACACAGAACTTATCTCATGCAGTTTAAATTCAAGTTTTATATCCTTCTTTTTCTTTTATTTTAGAATATTATTCTATGTGAAAATCGACTATTGAGAAAGAGAAATAGAGAAGTATTCATAGTATGTTTGAAAATAAACACAATTCGAATATGACAAACAAAAATAGATATAAAACAGAGTAAATTGGTCGGGTGAGATAATATTTAAAAATAAAACAAAAAAACAACGTAAATTTACAGAAATCTAACCAACAAATGTCAAGAAAAATAGAGTTTTGAAACACAAAAAACAAAACAATCTGTTCAAGTTTTGCAAGAATTATACGCACACACACACACACTCACACATACACACAGAAAACAACGAGGAACATCTAAACTAAAACTTCAAATTTATAATTCTGATACACAATGAGAGATATACACCATCGAAACAACGTAGATCAAAATACACATACGAATAACGAAAAACTAATTAGAGATTTTTAATTTTTCTATTTTAGACACAATGTAGTTGTTTGAACGACAGCGCATTCTACAAAGTTACTATTTTTACTCAACATATTATCGAATTGAATATTGCGCAACGATTTCAAATGGGAGAAATTCAAAAGACAACAAGACATTGGAGTATCATAGATGTCATATCTAAGGAAGAAGTTATGCAATTCAAATGTACCAGAAACATTTGAATCAGACAGGACGAGAACACATATATAAAAATATAAAACAGTTGGTTGTTGCTATTTCCTAACCATACACGAGATGTAACATATACTTAAAATATGCACTTAATCCCGATGATATTTTTGGTATAGTCGACGATATAAACTAAAAGCTTGTTTCTGATATTCATTACTAGTTCCCCTGTTTTATGGAAAAAGAAAAACATCATTAAAAAAAACGGTTAAGGAAAAAAAATCAGACGAGTAAATGTATGCTTTCAATCACTCTCAAACTTAGAGGAGCGGCATGATACAACAATTTTTAAACATATCAACAAGATGAAAAATATATGCATATGCATATGAGACTGATTGAGAGTACATTTTGAGTAATAGTCCGATTACGATGAGAGAAAAAGAAAAGTCTTTATTAGATAACGATACAATAAATTCAAAAATGGTGGTCAAGAGTACATCTACAAAAAATGAACTATATTCATACAAAAAGAAGAAACTGTTTGATATAAGTAATATAAATTTGTTTACTTCTTTATAGAATCAATTTTTTGTGAACGAAGGAAAAACAACAAACATTTTATAACGGAAAGAAGCGGAATAATATCGGTGGAAAGATCCTAAAGGAAAAGAAATCATTCTTGTATTTACAGCACAAAGAGGGAGAGGGAGAAAGAACGACGTACGATCAAAAAAAGTAAAAATACACGATACACTACAAATAATGAAAGCAAAACAAAAAGTTAATCAATTGAGTGAACCACGGCAAGTTTGTGTACCACATCTACAAGGTATTTTCTGTTCTTCTAATGGAAATTTATAATCATAGGTTATTTCTTCACCTAATCGAATATCACGTTTAGAATATATAACAATTTTTTTTTGTGATTCGACAGGAATTATTTTTGCGTAACAATTTGGCTGAAAAACAAAACAAACCATAAAAGTATATTATGTGATCTTTCTCGAAAAGGCTGCTTAGAATTTCATTCTGCTTCTCACGATTTATCGCCAATACCTGACTAATATACCATTCTAAAATACCCTTTCTCAACAACATTTCAGTCTTTACCTATGTGTATTGACTAAGATGTAACTGAAAAAAAATTCTGAGTATAGCGTACCAATCTGACAAAAATGACTCAGTATCAAATTCTAAAAACAGTCGAATTAATCGTATTCTTACATCGCAGCTATGATTAATAAATCGCGCTAAATTGCCACATTTCGTTGCATCAACAATTGTTTCTGAGTCAATTCTAAACATATAATTGCTATCAATGCCTTCAACTTCGTATTCTTTTTCACGTATGTCAGCCACTGTTTGTCGAATTGTTTCACCAACATATTCAATAACCATATCTTCAGCTGCAATTGTTTCACATGCAAATAATCCCCATCCATGTATATCAGATTTGGCATAACGTAAACGTTTTTTTCTTAGCTATAATGTGAAATAATCACATCAAATAGACATGAGTATTTTATAAACCAATATGAAACGTACTTTTAGCTGACTAAATTTAAAATGATCAGCAAATTCAACATCGCCTAATGCTGCTAATATACGCCTTTGTTCACTTCTAGCACCGCGAGATAGTTGTGCTGATTTTGCTGATTGATTATTTGTATCAATCATCAATTGTGGAATAATTGATAATGACTGAGCATCATTTGCTACTAACGTTTTCAGATAACGTAGTTTTTCTTCGAATGCTACTTTGTAATAGCCTTCAGTTCGTGCACTACCTATAATATAAAGTAAAAAATTTTAAAATGAAAATAGAGTGAAAATTTGTCGAATTTGTCTCATACCTGTGAGATGTTTTTCAGGCGCAGTTTTATTGAGAATAAAAAATGAATCGCGACTTGGAGGATGATCAACCCATCTTGTTAAATTTGCATAACATGACTGTCCTTCTTGAGACATTCTTGAAGAGATATCGTATTTAACAGAGATAAAACTTGAGAAATTATGAATAACCTACTTGATAAAACTTAATTTCAAATAGTTCATATCTTCTTCATCGATTCCATCATTAATTTCATACATAATACGCATTTCATCGTCATTTTGACGTGAAGAAAATTTACTTGGTTTTAATGATGTGTCGTCGTCTACCATTCCCTTTCTTGGCAAAGGTTTAATAGTCGTTTTTTTGTCTAATATCGGCGTAGCAACAACTTCGGATGTAGTAAAATGATTAACCGGTATTGGAACATAACTAGCATAGTCGTGTTCAAAACGAATATAATCAAACAAGCCAGTTGGTGGTTTTGCTTCACTCTTTATGCCATTGAATACATCTTGTGTTAGAATATTGTATGTCTGTACGGAACTCGGATTAATGATTTCAAACGTATTTGCTAGAAAAAAGAATAAAGATATCAAATAAAACTAGTTACAGTTAAATATTAACTTTGGAGGTTTAATTACTGCCCATTTCTCTCGCTAAATTCGACCGATAAATATGATGATCTTATCGGGTAAAAGATACTAGATAAATATACTTTTCCAAAAACGATCAATTTTCTCCTTAGAAATGAAAATTACAATTCTTCTTAGTAAAACACTAACCCACTAACTATTATTAATCATGAAAGAGAAGAATGATTCTGTTATTATAGAATCAAATACATTGTCATCTTTCACAAAAATATTAATTAAAACTTTCTACAAACCAGTTTTATCTGATGTTTCTTCCTTGAAATGAGTCAATATTTGTTGTTCGGGATGACTTGAACTAAACAGAAAATCATTTTTATATACAGTATTTTTATATCAGCTTTTTTTTATATGTCTAGAGATAGTAGCACAATGTACGAACTAAGAAGCTATCAGCGCGTGTACGACTAATATTTTTTTAAATATTAGTCGTATTTTAAAAAACTTGAATAATCATCAATGTTTGCTACCTTGATGCTGCTAACTTCGAATCACGTCTCTCTGTTTTTGATTCGTATTGAGGTAATTTAGCACGTTTGAGCGGTATTATCAATTCAGTTGTTCTGATATTTTTCAATAGATTACTATCGTCGTTGAAATTTTGCTGTCTATTTCCATTTGATCGTGATAACAGTTTTCCATCAAAACATTCGTTTTCAAGATTGCATACATCTGTCTTTCGTTTTTTTGATGGTATTGCTGTTGATTTTATCTTTTCTTTTTTTTTTGATGGTATTTTTGTTTGTTTCTTAATTTTGTTTACAGTTGATGGTTTTTTTATCACTTTAGTTTCCACAATCTGTTCTTTATCTTCTGGTAGTTGTTTCTCATCTCTAATTTCACCTTCTTCTTCCTCCACGGCAGTGTCAACAATCATCGATTTATTTATTTCATCATTACTGATCAAATTAGAATTATTATTAATTTGTGATTTAGTTTCAATAGTCAAATCAACAGATGGACTCAACTTTGGCTGTTGACTGACATTATCGTGTTTTGATTCGTCGTCACTTGAAGCGCTATTGCTACTGCTGCTGCTACGACTAGTTGTACTTATAGTCGAACTACTACTGCTGTAAGTACGAACACCTAGGATGATAAAATGAAATAATTATAGAATATTAAAATACTACACAATGAAATAGTTCTAACTTACGTTTACGTGAATGATGACGTCGCTCACTTTCTTTTCTATGGTCATGTACGGTCGACGATGTCTTTTTATTTTTAGATGATGGCGGTGAATGACGTTTTTCTTCTTGAACAATTCTTTTCTGAATCTAAACATGATTCATGTTTGTTTCTAAATAGATTTGTGTAATAAATATATGACCTCTCATTTTTACCCGAAATGATGGTAGTTTTGGCATTTGTGATCGCACAGTCAGATGACCAGTTGAACCATGTTCACGTATTTGTTCAAAATAAGCTGTTGTATCAGCAATACGTGTGATTGAAGATGAAAGTGGTAATGGCGTATGAGTTGTTGTTGATGTCGCAGTATTGTTACACTGTAATAAATCTTCTTTACCTCCTACACGATCTGTTAGAATATTTGATGACACGCGTTGTGCCGATGATACTATCGTTTGAGATGATGTTTCATGCTCTGCACTACCATTCAATAGTGACTGAGATGAATGTGATTGATAACTGTTATTATTTGATTCCACTGATTTAATTTTTCGTACCTATTAAAAAATAGTTACATCAAATATGTATTACTTTACTTTTTATTTTCACATACTTTTGCCTTTTGTTCTTGATTATCGTACCACATCTCGATGGTTTTATAAACAAGTGTTTCAACAAGTTTTTTTGTCAAATCCTTACGTATTAAATCGATCAACTCTTTATTAACAATGTTTGACACATTTGTTGTTAAATCTTGACCTTTATTTGAACGTAAATCATCGGCAATTGGTACGAGTGGAGGTGGCATTGTTCCTGCTTTCGGAAGCGGTGGTGGCGGAGGAGCCATGGGAGAAGGTTTTTGTTGTTGGTATCCATAAGTCGATGGTTCTTCTTTACCTAAATCTAACAGAGGACGAAAAAGATCTTGCCAGTTTGTGCCACCGTTTGAATTCAAAAATGATGCGGGCGGAAACGATGAACCAAAGAAATTGAAATTATTTATAACTGTATGATCAACACCATAAACCGGTTGTTGTTGCTGATGGCCAAGTAAATGCGGTGGAATGGGGGGCAACGGAAATATGGGCGGAGGAGCATGTGACATTGGTGGCAGATTAGGAAATGATGGCGTCGCCTTAGGATGATGTATGTTTGGTTGTTGCTGTTTAAGAATCGCATCAATTCTCGCATCTAAACTTGGTCGTTCACGTTTATCCTCTTCTTCTTCAGCTGGAACTGCTTTTTCAACTTTTTTGTTTACAACAAGATCTTTTGGCGAATTTTTACTGGTTGTTGTCTCATCATCAGAGTCGGAAAATTCTGATGACGACGATGAATTGGATGATGAACTACAGGACGAATCATTTGAAGAGCTTGTGGCAGAACTCGATGAAGACTTTTTTCGATGACGTTGTGGTTGCCGCTTATGCGAATTGCTATTATTCTTCGAAGTACTATGGTTACTAGACGTATAATGTGTTGATAATTGTGACAATGGTCTTGTTTGATGACTATTATAAGATGTGTAAGG